ATAGAGATAATTAGGGCATATTTAAATTTATGTCGTTCTCCTCTTTTCAATGGAATGACCCAAATATAAAATAATTTGTTGGCTCCTGTGCATAATGATGTGTACACTCATGTTAAAATGAATAACACTTTTTTTATGAACTATATTTTATTTATATATGAAAATATTGTTGAAAACAAGAACTCTGGCGTTTTAAATTATTTTCTGTTACTTACAATCATAATTTTTCTTTGAATAAAAATGTACTGAAAAGTACTGATTTTTTTAGCATGAAAAAGTCTAATGTTCTGATTTCGCGCATAAAAAATCTGGCAACCCTATTCCGAAATATGAAAAAGCATCTGTGAAGTGGAAAATTGGACTAGTCTAAGACTATCTTATGGTCAGTTTTGATTGGACCAGTCCTTTTCCAATGAGACGCCAATGCTAAAAATGGTAGTTGAAACCATTGGCAGGGGAATTATGAGGGACTAGTGCTGGTAACAATAGCGACTATCTGAGGGCTAACCTAGGGTGACTCTGAATTGCTGCAGGGTATTTACTCGTAGAAATACAAGTGTTATGATTGTTGAACTTATCCATTCTGTAACGGCCTTTGCAAATTTTAAGGCAATAAAACCCGTATTCGCCAAAATTTAATTAAATTGCGGTACGGATAATATTTTTACTGTTATTGCATATATGTACATATGTGTCCATATGAATACAATGTATGGGCATATATGAGTAAGCAAATACAGGTCGGAAATTTTTGTTGCACTAATTAACTTTCATTAAACATGGCCCCGCAAATTAATGCGAAAACGGGAAACATAAAGTTTTGTGATCTCTAACCAACTGTGGTAGATAATTAAATTAATGAAGTTTGGGCCAATTTCACAGTCATTAGGAGGGGGCAATGAAAATATAACATTTTTTGTATTTACCCGTGGCTCTTGGAGTGTTCGAGAGAAAGATTCTGCGGAAGATTTACGGGCGTTTGCGCGTTGGCTACGGCGAGTACCACAGACAATGTAACGATAATTGGGTAACGACCTTTTCAGATGTCCAGGCCCCGAGATTAAAAAACATAATTATATCTTTTTCACTTTTGTTGGCTCTTATTAACATTTCTTAACCAAACTTAAAGTTTACTATCAATTCGTTAACCTTGGAAGGTCATGCATTTTTTTTCTTTCAGTCGGGCGCTGTGCTGAGTGGTTAGACGTGCGTACTACCACTCCATAGGGCCTGGGTTCGATCCGTGATCCGAGCAACATCTAAATTAGAAAAAGTATCTTCTACCACAGCGGTGGCCCCTCGGCAGCCAATGGCAAACCTCCGAGTGTATTTCTGCAATGAAAAAGCTTCTCATAAAACGTATGCGATATTTATCTCTATCCCATTTTTTAAATATCTTTCTCTCTATCCTTTACTTTATGTTTATCTTTACTCTTCTTCATTTTCTTTATCCTTATTTTTATCTTAAATTTATCTTTTTCATCACCTTTATCCTTAAACCCGTAGTATTGTTCGCTGGTCGGGTATCTGAATCCAAAAATAGTTAACTGTTATTATGCAGAGACGAGATGTTAAATGATACTCATTGCTTTTTTTGGACATTCCCCAACCACAAATTAAATGCTACTTTTTCCCCATCGCTGATACTATGTATAAAATAATTCCGGAATTTTCCGATAAATGATCCTACCCTTTCTTGCTTATTATCACGGAACCTGGTCGAATTGGAAACGGAAGGCTTTTGAGGTCGAAAAGCCAATAATTTATTATCATGGGACGTCGTAGGCTCCAAATATCAGTTGTATACTTTATTTTAAGAATGGTTCCTTCGATAACGTTTTCCCAAAAACAAAAATAAGTGCAAATTAAAACTTTCCAAAGAGCATTCGTTCGGTGTTCCCCTTTTCTGCTACGACTTTTTTATTCAACGGCAATCATTACCAAGTGGTTAGAGATATTCACTAGCGCTTAGAAAGACCGAGGTTCGATTCCTTTCGTATAGCGAGTGGGTTTGTGCCAGGGACGTGAAATGGTTTTCAATCGAACCCCTTTTTATAAGGGTTGAATGTTCGTTTGTACCAATATTTAATAGACAAATTTGCACCACGTTTTTATTTTTTCTTTTTTTAAATATGGTAATACCATGTTGGTTTACCATCTGACAATTTTTTACTACTCATAGTGTATGGCATAAATTAAACATTTTTCGCCCAGTTCACGCGTGGTTTGTGTCACGAGAGAGCTTCTCATAAAAATCAGTTCGGAGGCGGTTCAAACTGAGGAAATCTCGCACACCACAAAATAGAGAAAAAGCTAGGCCAAGCTCTTAAAAAAATATTTGATGTGCCAATTGTTTTACTTGTGCCTTATCTTATTTTTTTTTAAATGTTTGGCAATACTATCCAAGATCACCTGAAGAGCAAAGCGATTGATACCCATATTGAGATATTTTGTAATATCGTTTTATTTGATTCCAGTTTTTGCTATTTACAGAAAGGTGCCAACTCCGGGCGTGTGTGAATCGGTAACAAAGTCCTATGGGGAAAGCTGTTGAATAATATTTTTACTATGGTGAGACAGTTTTGCCAATCTGCTGTGTGAAATGAAATATTTTTTGACAGCAGTAAATTTTTGATAACCGCAGATTTATTTGGAATAAAATATTACAAATTGAAGTGAAATGAATATTTTAAGAAAACATCTACCATCGTTGATTGCAATTCATCTATTTAAGCTTTCATTTAACAAAAAATTACACACATCAACAATCTTTGCGATTGTCAAAATTTTCTATGCATTTGTCAAAAATTTCACTAGCCTCATGAGCTACTGAAATTTTATTCACCTCGTAGTTGTCAAAAATTTACTCGACGCGAACTTTGTTACCGATTCACACACGCTGTCCGTCAAAAAAATTTTTTCGAACTAAAGCTTTTCTAACACTTGAAACTAAAAATTAACTATCCTAATTGGTTATCACCAGGGCTAGGATTTTAAGGCATTTGACTATTTTGTCTGCCCAGTCGTTTCTGTAAACAAATTAAATAATCACACGTTTCATGTCTTCCTTGATTAAAAATTCAAATTTTAATTTGCCTTTTTTACTATATTGCCTTTTTCTGCCTTTTCTTTATGATTTGACTTTTTAATACTTATCTCTTGATTATTGCAAAAAGTTGGTTTTTATAAAAAAATAATCAAAATTAAATAACAACAAAAATAATATGTTAAAACTTGGCAAAAAGTGGTGCGGCTATAATTCGAGGGATATAAAATTGTGTGAAGGATGCACAGCTGCATGCAAATCATAAAAAATTCAAAATATAATGCATTTTTAAAATTGAGGGGTTGAACCAATTTTTTTTTTACCAATTTTTTTAACGTCAAGGAGTGATTGTGGCTCAATGACAAAATTTTTCCTTGAAAGGCAATTACATTAGTTTTCAAAGCCATTTTATTTCATATCAAAATATTGCTTCTGTCGAAAGCGCTATGATTAATTGGCATGAAGTGTTAAAAAAGCACACTGTGTGCCGTCGAGTTTGCCCGAATATCTTATTTTTAAGTCGAGAAATGTAATTTTGAAATTTTAAAATTACTACGGTGTATTTTTCTCAAAAACATATGACTCAGAACATATGATATATAACAAGTAAGAAAGTCTAAGTTCGGGCGGAGCCGAACATTAAATACCCGGCGCAAATATTATATATATGTTTTTCGCCTTTCCGAAAGCTACCGCTACATGGTAAGCCGGGGTGTATCAATTTTGAGTAAATTAGCGTCCTTAAATTTCGAAATATTGAAGTTTCAAGGATTTCTAAAATTTACCGTTATATGAAAAGCCGTAATTTTAGTCCGGTTTCAATAATTTGGAATGTTTTGCTTTTGCGTGGCAAGCACAATAAAAATACCGAGGTAGGTACAAATTGGTAGAACGGTTACCGAGATACATATATGTGATCCTAAGTGGGCGGTGCCAGGCCCATTTTCCAAAATTTTATCATAAACGTATTTCCTGGTAAAGAATTGTTGCAAGCGTCAATTTTGAATAAATTAGCTTTAATATTTACTGATTTATCGAAGCTGTGCCAAGTTTTGAAGAAATCGGTGCAGCGGTTGCCAAGATATACACATATAACCATAAGTGGGCGTGGCTACGCCCATTTTTCAAAAATTTATAATATTCTTATTTTTCGTCTAAAAATTATTGTAAATATCAATTTTGAGTGAATAATCTTCAGTAGTTACTAAAATATCGCAGTCTTCGTATTTTTGAAAATTACCGTTATATGGGAGGTAGGCGTGGTTATTGTCCGATTTTGCCCATTTTCAATACCATCCGTCCTATGCCCGAAAGAAGTACACGTACCGAGTTTCGTTAAGATATCTTAATTTTTACTCGAGTTATTGCGTGCACAGACGGACGGACGGACAGACAGTCACCGTTTAATCGATTTCTCTTTTCATCCTGATCATTTATGTATACATTTGTCTATTTCTATATCGATTCGTTTTGCATGTTACAAACAACCGTTATGTGAACAAAGTTATAATACCCTTGTGCACAAGGGCGCTCGGGTATAAAAATATAATTCATTTATAAACAATATATAATATAATAAAATTGAACTCACGATCCGGCCCTGACTAAAGGTACATAGTATGTATATAACAAAATTTAAAAATAAATTACTTCTACCTTTTTTGAAAGCTCATTTTGCCTTTTTGAAGTTTTTAGTGCCTTAAAATCCTAAGCCTTCTTATCACGTTCTCGTAGACCAGTTTTTTCTTTTCATAGATTGTCTTGTTTACGAAAGGAACTTTGAATGCTACTTTTTATTTCATTTCATTCTTCAAAAGATAATCTTGTTGACAAAACACCTCGTCGCAATTTCAATTTTAATTACTACTATAAATCACTAACTCAATTTATTGTAGAGCTTAACGCGTAAACAAAAGCAATTCATAGCAAAGTGTACTTTGGTAATTATACTTACATAATTCCGTCGCGCACATACAAAAATTCGGTTCAACAACAGAAAATATTGCATTATGAACGAGGCCTGTTGTGTGTGCAAAGCCTTGTAGGCTGTATAACGCCGGCGAACATTTCGCGCATGCGCCGTTGAGCCAACTTCATCGTCACTATCGTCCATCTTCGTACTTGTGGCAGCGGCACTGGCATTGAGCGTCTTTACTTCCTCCAAAGCCACATCATCCGCAGCGGGTTTTACATAGTCGAAGGCTGCAAGCTTCGACATGGCGGTGGGAAAACGTTTCAAATTGCTGAAGATTTTACTACACGCTTCATTATCTGCAAATGTAATTGCAATGATATGTCAATTCATGTACTCTTGAGTTACATACAAGTAAAAACATAAATATGTAAAATATTTGTTTGTACATACATACATACATATGTATGTAAATGCTTGTGTACATAGTTAAATAGTAGGGCTTTTACAATTGCATATTCGAATAACCGAACATTCTAACGATCGATTGGCAATCGCATGTTCGATTTTCAATCGAATTTTACTATTCGAATAGTTGCAGCACTACGATTATCCGAATAATCGATGGACTAAGATTATTCAAATATTGATTATAATTCGAACATTCGTCCGCAGGATTAGTTATGAAATAGTTGCGAAGTTCTGAAAATGAGAGGAAGAGAAGTCAGCTGGGTTTGAGGCTTTTTAAAAAAAGTTCTGACTGTAACCAAGTTACGTGCTCCATTTGTGGTATTGACCCTTATTATGAGTTGCATTCGATTTTCGACCGAAAGTGAAATTCGTATTATGAGCTATGCAGCCCGAATCCCGGGAGTCCCGAGCCCTTTTTGAAATCCCGAAATCCCGGGATCAAGCCCTCGGGATCCCGAGATATAATTTAATTTACTACCAAATTAAAATAAAACGACATTCAGACACTGAAATGGCATATGATAAATAATAGGTGCGTTCGTTTAAAATCTCCAGTAAAAAACATCCAACTGCCAAATTCCGGCGAAATGTCATCTATTCTCTCACAAGAGAAAAATATCCAAAATAGTACGCGAACAGAAATTTTGCAGAAACTTGTAAGTTAGACGAACAGCTGATATAATTCTTGTGTACATTCAAAAGTGTAAAATTTAAAACGTACGAAAAGTCATCACAAAGTGTTATACTGATACAGTTTATTGATTAAACAAATAACTACTTGTTTCTTACAAGTTTAATTAGTCGCTTTTTGTAATTTTGAACTTCCAAACCATCAAATTCAATTTTGTGATTTGCGTAAATGCCAACCAGCTGTTTTTGATCAGCTGTTTTCCTGTTGGCAAATTGCTGTTGGCAAAAATTTTTCCAGCAGAAACCAGCAGCTTCCCCTCAAAATGAAATGTCACTTTGCTCTCTCAATTTCCCCTACTTTGCAAGTTTTTTGCGTACGCGAACGCAAAAACTTGTAAGTTTTGGTTAAACATGAACAATTAACAGCTACGCGAACGCAACTAATATATTACAATTCTAATACTATTATTCTGTGTTATAATATATATAACATACATATGAGGCATTCTTTTTCATACCGTACACCAAATTTGGTGTCACAATTTCGATTGACTTCATATTTTTCCTTTTTTCTTCGGATATACATACATATGACCTGCCAAATTTTGGATTTTTTCGTGATTCTGACTAAATAATCATGTACTTCTTCAAATTGTTATATCTCGGGCTCTGTTTATCGTAGAGACTTCATTGTTGACTCTCACAAAATAAACCACCTCGTCATAAAAAAAAAAAAATATTTTAAAAATAGTTCTTAAAAAACTCCCAATTTTTGGAAAATGTTTTTTATAGAGAATTAAACAAGGATTAGGATGGTGTAATTTAAAATCCCAAATTTACTGGTCTTTACTATGTAAATCAACTTAAAAAAGTTCAACTGTTAAAATGACTTCGACTGCAATATGAATGAATTACAATTTTTTAGTTTTTAGTTTATTCAGTTTGTAATTAACTTTTTAAACTGATATAAAATAAAGATACATATTTACATTTCTTTTCTTAAAAACACAAACTCATTTTTATTTCTAGTATTCGCACTAAAGAAATACTGCAAAACTAGTTTGTTAGCATATTTTAATTAATGGTAATTATATCCCGGGATCCCGGGATTACCAATTTAAGATCCCGAAATCCCGGGATTTACAAAATGGTCCGGGATTGGATGCCTTACTAGACACTAATTCTAAACACTTTTAATTAATTTCATGCAGTTCTAACCAGTGTTGCCAGAACTTTTCAGGGTGACCGGCTAGATTGGACAAAAAAACGGCTAAAAACGGCTAAAATGTTTCAACCAGAATTAAATTTTTTTTAAATACATAAACTACAATTAGAAAGACTAGTAAATCCATTGAATTTTTTTGGTTAATAAAGATTATTTATACGTAGCTAAGCTGTACACCACTTTATTTTTCTTTAACAAAGGAAACTGTCGTTATACGTAGCTAAGCTTTACATCAGAAGTCATGTTTGTATTACTTAAATATAAAAACAGAGATAAATTACAAACTTATGGCGTTTTCTTTTCTATTAAACAATTTTGCCTTCTTATAAATATTGGATAATTTTCAGTAGGTTGCTTTTCGTCCCGCAAAATTGCTATATTAGCTGAGAGTATGGCACTTTTGATTAGTCGGAGGGCAATATTTTGAGAAATAAACACGTAAAGCTGTGAAAGCAGAAGGTAGTTAATTTATTGACATTCGTTGTTGTTGCCGACCACTTCACTTTTAACAAGTTTATGACATTTAACTAAAATCATGCCACCAGATTCACTAGCAGAAAAATTTTTGTTTCTTAAAAAAGTAGAAAAAAAATTTGAATCTGGATGAAAATATTAAAAGTGTTGCGCGTTCCCAAACTGCCAGAATTCGGTACACCAGAGCAAACGTTCGAATATAAAGTTTTTTGCTTTTCCGAGGTAGGGTACGTAGGTTGATAACAAATTGCTGACGCAAAATATCTTTAAACCTCTGAAAGATGTACCATTATCCGTGAGACAGGAAAGAGGTCGAGTTAAAATGATGCCTGCAACTTGTAACAGTACCAATTTTTGGATTCTCGGAATTTTCTGATAAAGTTGTGGTGCTGCTAAACATCGAAATTCATGCTCTTTTATTTTCTAAGTGTAGCGAATAAAACTTCACACTTAAATTTAAGACATTCATAACAAAAATTTTATGAAGAAAATTCCCGCTACGTTCTTCCAAATATAAACTAGGACGCAAAATTTAAGCAAGTTTTGCCTATTTTTCTTTAGTTTATTTAATATTTATTATTTTTTGTGAATATGTAGCTCATTACTTAACAAACAATATATACTCCAAACAGATTTCACACTTGGTGTAAAAATTATGAAAATTCTGCAAAACTTCATCAAAACTTGTAACTTTTTAATCTGCTAAAATTACGCGTCCCAGTTTATGTGTCATGTGGTTATGGGTCACTCGCTTAAAACAAAAAACATTGAAATCGGCTCACTATCTGATTGTTTTTCAATTTTATATAACACAGTCCGACATGAAAATTTTCTCAGAGATAAGACTAGCCATTTCTAATAGATTTTGGAGCACTAAATTTGTAAAATTAAAAACTTGTATATTTGAATTTTAATAAAATAAGGCGAAGAGCAAAATCGGCTTCTTTTTTTTTTTGCAAAACGGCTAAAAAATCGGCTGCCGGCTAAATCGAATTTTTTCCGGCTGTTTGCTGTCGCAACCGGCTAAATCTAGCCGGAAAACGGCTAAAATGGCAACGCTGGTTCTAACGTCGTGAATACTAAACACAAGCTCGAAAGGCTGGTTTTACTTGCGAAAGAAAATCTCAATACTCAGTTGGCACGCTCTCTGAGAACGAAATCGTAGAGCTGTTAATAGTTTTAAAATATTATAAATAGATTTGGCTCACAAACGCCTCTTTAGACAGTCGGAACTATTTAATAAATCTGTAGACAAATTTCTTTAAAATATTTTGTGTCAAAATATATTCGAAAGACTACGTTTAAACTCTCTTAAACATTCACTACTCCTGGCCAGTTTACTAAGGCCTTTCATCCGTTGTACTCAATTTTTACCATGTTTTTTATAAACTCGCTTTCTTTTTTATTTCGTTTTAATTTGTACAAATTTACATAAATATGTATAAGCACACTTTTTAGTTTGCTCGATTTGTAAACAAAGCTTCTCAGCGGTGAAAAATATACTATTGTGAACAACCTAAACGAGCGAAATTCACAGTAGGGCTATTCTTCATCGAATGAGCGTCATAATTCGAAACGACTATTCGAATTTTACCATTCTTGCCTTATTCGAATATTCGATTAATCGAATATCAAGAACTCTAGTAAATAAATAATGCAAAATTAAAAAAATTATACTTCATTAAAATTATGGAAATGTTTATTACCTTTGATTGTGGAAAGCAGCCGCTGTACATTTATTTGCTGGCTATCTGCATCTTCATGGTACTTTTTATTTGCAGCATTTATTAATTTAACCAAATCACGATCGTGTTCGCCCACAGCTACTTCCAGCACTAAGAAGGGGAGAAACAAAAAATATATATAAGGTCGATTATTTGACTGGCAGCATTGCATTCGTACGCATTTTTTTACAATATCAATCAATTGTCCAATAAAAACAGGAAAACCTCGATTTTTTAGTTAGTATAAAAGTGTTTAAAAAGTGCTTTGGTATCAAAGTTATAGACATTATTGAGGTGCTGAGTCTCATTTCCTATAATTTTTATTCTCGTTTTCTCTTTTGCTTTTTGTCCTCTCCCTTTCTTTCCGTCTTCTGCATCCAACTTCAACACGTAACAACCTGTCAAAAATGAAAATTCCATTCGCTTGGCGCTAACGCCGCGTCATTGTGGGATGCTACATACAAACTGTATGGCCATGAGGATTTTTGACAGTTCCTTGACGCTGGACGCGCCAGTTTAGGGATGGCAGTATGTCGGTCGGTCGCCGTAATGCAGAGACACCTTTTTTGTTTGAAGAATTTTTGTTCTAGATGAATCGGACGATGTGATCTTTGAAGGCCAGAAAAGCTTCTTCATCCGTCGAACAATTTTTCTTTATCCTTGGATCTATTAAAGTAAAAACTGGTAAAATAGTATTTTACTGTTACGATAAGTTCAAATTTTTAGGGGGTATCACATTAAATAGCAAGGAAACATCTTTTTCTAAACTTGAAATATATAAGTATAATGACGAAGGTTTAATGTAAAGAATCGGTATCAGGAACTGAAAAGGAAGTACTTGTTTGAAGTATTGGGTCCGACAATTCAGCAAATCACTAATAGACATTTGAATGTGCACTGTCCACGTTGTACTATTTGGAAGTTCAATGATGAACCATGTCAATAAGTTTGAAATTTCTGCGAACTGCTTGAACGCATACTGCTACTTTTTTTTGGTATTTCATCTGCAATGAAAGCGGGAGGACAACTGCGTACTCAATTGCTCAAAACTTTTGGATTTTGACAATTTTTTCAGACAAAATTTGGCACTGGTAACGTTACATAAAGCACTGGACACGTTACACAAACGGTGCGGTTGGGTAAGATTTAACCCAATAGCCTTGCTCTTCCATTTTTTCTTCACATTCATATTATATCACCATAACCAAATGATTTGAATACGGAATACGGAATTACGGAATAATACAAAAATATTCGATTACTCTTAAAGTTTCTAACCAAGTAAAAAATCTTTCTACCGTAAAAAGCTTGTCCTTAAAATCTTTTTTTAATCATTGCAAATAACATTTTTGTATCTTCAGAAGATAATGCAATAAGAACTTAAAGAAAGTAGAAAGGAATATGTCTGCTTGAGAGCGAAATAAAAATTTCTTCAAAACCAATTTAAAGGTCTTCTTTGGTAAATTCTGTACTCAATGCTCATTGCTTATTTAAAACTACGTCTTAAAAATTATGGCCATCACCCATTTATATGGACAACAATTTCCTCTAAAGGAGGAGAAGCTCGGCCAAACACTAACACATGTGTAAGCGCCAATCTATTATTATTATTAAGTTCCTCTAAAGAAGAGGTATAAATCAATGACACTATCGATAGTATCGATATTTTTTATTATTTTTCGCTACTATCGATCGGTTTTTGGCACTGTCATAAGTCCGAAAGACATGTGATTCAGTATTTATTCAAAATTTTTTCTTGTTTTCATTTAATATATATAATATATATATTTTAATTGCCAAATTTACCAGAAACTGGAGAAGCGGTTACCGAGATGTATACACATCTAATCATAAGTGGGCGTGGCTGCGCCTGTATACCAAAAATATCAATTTTGAGTCAAAGCTTCAGTAGTTACTAAAATATCGCAGTTTTCGTATTTCTGAAAACTACCGTTATATGGGAGATAGGCGTGGTTATATTCCGATTTTTCCCATTTTCAATACCATCCGTCCTACACTCAAAAGAAGTATACGTACCAACTTTCGTTAAGATATCTAAATTTTTACTCGAGTTATCGTGTGCACAGTCGGATAGACGGACGGGTGGGCAGACATACAGTCACGGCTAAATCGATTTCTTTTTTCATTCTGAGCCGTTATGTAAACAAAGTTATAATACCCTTGTTCACAAGTGCGCTCGTGTATAAAAATATTTAAATTGCTTAATTTAGCAGAAAAAAGTGATCACAGTGTCGCAGAGAAGCAAATTCTAAGGATATTTTGTCTTCTTTTTAGCCCTTCTATAGAAACCTGGTATATTGAAAAGTATGCAGTCATTACCAAGTTATTATCGTTTAAGTGATAAGACTATAAATTTGATTTTACCAAAAAGTTCGTAAAAAAAAACATACATACATACATACATACATAGATACATTCTTCATTAAATATGAATTTTTGGTGAGGAATTGAATTTCGTATATAATTAGTAATTTACCCATAAATATTTCCTCCATGGACAGAAAAACCATATTTCTAACAAAAATCGCAATTATCACGGAAACTACTTATGGTAAATAATTTCAGAAAGCTACCTTTTTGTAGGAAATTTGATTTTGATAGTTTTCAATCACAAACATAATACTAAAGCATGCCCGTAGCATACCACAATAGCGCGGCGCTAGCGCCGAGCAAATGGAATTTTCATTTTTGACAGAGCATTACGTGTCAATGGCAAACCGCCGACTGTATTTCTGCCATGAAAAAGCTTCTCATAAAATCCATTGACGGTCGAAGGCTGCGTAAATCTGTAGGTCGCTCCATTTCTTTAACAACATCAAGACTCACACCACAAATTGGAGGAGAAGCTCGGCCAAATATTCTGCGTGTAAGCGCCAAAATATTATTATTATTATTCGAATATCTAGCTTATAACACTTTTGGAAAGATCAGCCAAAATTCTACATTTTCGCAGGGAAGATCAACAGCCGTTTTTTTGGCGAGAGACAAATTTGTATCCTTTGAAAGAAAATTTAATTTCTGGATTACCTGTGTGGAAAAAGAGCATTGAATATTTCCCACTTTTATACAACTTTCTACGAGAAATTTGATAAATTTCCAAATGAAATGCAATATGTCATAACGGAGCACTTGGTAAATAAATGCAAAATGTCATAACGGGGCACCTGATAAAACTCCTGGGATCTTTGTCAGATTATTTTTCGGACGGTAGAAGTAATATCGATTGGGTTCAAACTCCATTTATAAAGCATTCATAGATCTTTAGAGTACTTCGACATTGAAACACACGTTTGAGTCTGAGTCGCATGAAGCTACCATTAAGTAGCTAGACAACCCTAACCATGCTTCCTTCTGTCACAACGTATCGTTGTGGAACAGGGGTTTCAGTTTACCTCTCGTCTTTTTTATTGGCGCTTTTACTTATACAAAAAACAAATGCAGGTCCAAATTGGATGCTTTCAGACATAACCGGTCCAATCCCGTATTCCTCAGACTAAAACTAGTAAAACTGTCAAAAAATAAAAATTCGCTCATAACGAGAGAGCAACACTGAAAAGTGTGGGATCGCTTTCTAGTAAAAAATGGTAACTTCTGACAACTTCAACAAAACCTCAAAATTTTGGTTTTAAATTTTTGGTTATTTTAGCTGCATTTTTTTGTAAACGAGCTACAAAGAACGCTCAACTCGGCCAAAATTTCCTTTTAGCTACATAAGCAACCCTGTTGGTGGCTGGTAAGAAACATGTGATTAGTTTAACGGGATTTAGACACAAAAGAACAATAGAAATGAGTAATTATGCGAGGTATTTGCAAAATATATATACTTATTTAAAATATAAATCATGTATGTACGAAAACAAAAATTTCCCTCTCCACTTTCCCGGTAACCATTCACAATAGAGCAGGTTTTTCACTTGCCAACACTACCCTTCCGGTCGCGTACTTTTTAACCGACCTTTCTGAACTCGGTTAAATAGCCGAGTTTGCGTTGTTGCTTTGCATATATTTCGTCATTTAAGCGAGTGTTCTTTTGTAGCTCGGTTGCAAAAGAATGCACCTTTTGTATGTAAACACACGCAGCTCACGGATATAACTAACCAAAAATACTTTGAAATTCATAGGAATCCACTTAAGCCAGTATTTAAATACTTTTCAACATGCATTAGCCAGTTAGGGCGAACCCAGGTAGGGGGAACCCCCAAGACTGTGTAACATGTATTTTCATAATATTCAACTGAATATCGTGAAATATCCTTACAAGAATATTCATATAATAAATAGGTTTGTCCCACAAGCTACTTGTAGAAAAACTATGGAAAAGTTTAAACTGTGAGCGTATATCAAAGAAACTCGAAAACCTACTTGTGGAACGCGTATGTGTAACTCGAAATGACTTCGAGCAGCTTATAAATAAATAAAAATTCAGATTAAAAAACTAAAAAATTTAAACGAAAATTTTTGGAATTTTTCTAATGTTATAGTATACAGCTTGAACCCTCGATTTTTTGAGTCACTGTATTTGTCTGTAATAAATCCAGTTGAAGTTTTTTCAAATGATGTAGTTTCGATGCTGCCTTTAGTTTCATCACTTTCACTTTTGGCTGAAGGAAACCGAGAAGATGCCATTAATATAATCTCAAATACCATATCAATAGTTCAATAAAAATTCTTTTATAAAAAATTGTAATTTCTATTGAAAATAGAACAAAACTATAGCTTTTATTAAAATAATAATATAATAATTGTTTATTTTATTTTTCTGAAACCTCCTGTTACTTGTTGTACTATAAAAGATCGTAGATCTTATTGTACTAATGTTTTCTCGCAATAAATGAAATGAAATGATATGAAACTGAAAATAGTTATTCGTTGATATTTTCCAGATTTGTTAACCTTTTTTCAAGTGGATGGTAAATATTTTTTTAGTCAGTGGCAACCATGGAGAGGACCTTATTTACTCTCTTTTTTGTCCTCTCAATAGTCAGAGAACCGAGTACGGTATCGATTTCCAGTCAAATCTGTCTAATTCTGACTAGTCTGGACTGTACGGGATCGCAACTAATATGGAACTATAAATCAATATTTAATAACAGTGAAACAATTTCATTCTTCACATTAAAATTTTAAGTTTGTATGCTAATTCCAGTAAAAGTTTTTATTCATATTTAAATTACAGTGCCTTTGATTTTTAGTAATTTAAAGTGGGGTTCCATAAAATGAAAAGTTGTTAGTAAGGGTTCCATTATCTTAAAAGTTTGGGAGCCCTTGAACCAAAGTATAACACCTTAAATATTGTTTATCTAAAATTTAAATTTTCTTCGAAACTATTAGTCTTCTATAATCTTGTTTTAGCACCTTTTTGTAAAGAATTGAATTGGATATTGGAATCTCAAATTCACACTACATGAAATTTTAGCTCTTATTAGGAACCCTTTCTGAATCAAATCTACTTACAAATTTTTAACCTGCTAATTTAGAAAATAGTACGCAAACAAAAAGGGGGGAGAAAAATGTTTGGAACGTTTGGAAATAAGTTACAGCAAACCCAGCCGAAGCCGACTCGATTTTGACCAAATTAACATTTTAGAGGGAAGTTTTAAGACTTACAAAAATCGGCGGGATTGTGATAACTTGGGCACACTAAGTCCTGTCCCTCTAAGAACGGTATCAATTCGCGAACTGGACCCTGGTAAATGCAATTGCCGTCGACCACAGTATATAGCTTATCAAACATTTCGAATATTAATGCGCTTGGCTGGTGAATGGTGCAAACGATAGTGTGACCTAGCGAAGCTAACTTCTTGAGGAGTGATACACATTGACTACACGACGAGCTGTCCAAACCTCTGAAATGAAAATGAAAAGAAAAAAGTCAATAAGTTACTTAAGATTAAACCGAAATGAAAATACTAGAGTACGACAGATTTTTCGGCTTCGGTTTCATTTTGCCGATTAATCGGCAATATTTTCATATTCGGCTGAATGCCGAAGCAAACCTTTTTTCTATCTAGATTTTTTTTTAACATGTATGTGCTATAATTTAAAGGTATACATTTATTGTGAATAATCTGTTTGAAAAAAAAATGTGGTATTGCAACTTTTTCTTAAAATCAGCTTTCAGCTGAGGATTTGAAATTGTGATTAAGGCTTATATGTGTACATATAAAAGAGTTCTTAGTGGGGGCTGATATTTTTTCAATATTGGAATACCAGCTCGATAGAGTTACTTCGCAGTTACTGATAATTATCTTCCTGCTCCACCCACCAGCGGTCACAAAGAGGAGGCAGCATTTTTCGGAAGAAAAGAAAATGCTATTATTTAAAAAAATGTGAATTTTTTGTATTTAGTATTTTATATGTTATTAAAAAGGCAAGATGAAGCTTATTCTTTGAAAAAAATCTATTTACTTAATTTAGAGTAAATCATTGGCTTCGTTAATCGGACGAATGTTAGATCAAAACCGAACGGTTGGTTCGGCTTCGACTTCGGCCGAAAACTCTACTTTCAGTGGGACTCTAGAAAAAACAGATTAAAAGAAGATATATAATACCCTACCTACCCTTAGATCCTACACTTCACACTTTTATTTCATACAATCTTGAAGCAGAAATATTTCAAAGTGTACGAACTAAAGGTGGGCTGGTTAGTATACGTTTCCACGGTAAAATTTTTTTAATCGACTTTAAAATTTGCACTTAGCACTGATGATCTAAAAAAATATATAAATAAAAGAAAAATTAATAAAATAACCAAAAGTTAAACGATTTAAATAAATAAAAGCTTATCGGAAGGGTTAATGAATAAAAAATTTGACTTTCTTTTCCTTCGAACTACTTTGATGCCAGATGGTGTCCCATTCCATAGTAAAGATAAAATTTGAATAAAAAACGAATTGAATAAATTCTTATGTACGTACATTTTCTTTCCATCTATCTTTTATGAGTTTCGTTTATCTATGGAACAGCTTACGCTAACTTCCTGAAATTTGAGACAGCTACATATTTTATCCATACCGTACTTATATGGCGTTTGATAACACCTCACATGCTGCAATAAACAGTGCTTTGATCAGCAGGGGGGTAAACAATACCCTCGTAGCCTGGATTAATTGCATGCTCCGCACCAGAAGGGTAGAAATACAAACCTGTACGAATAATAAGGTTGTTGCCGGAACAACAAGGGGCTGTCCACAGGGTGGAGTGCTAACTCCACTGCTGTGGAACATAGTCGTCGACGGACTGCTCCAAGAGCTGACAGAAACTGGGTTAACTTGCCAGGGGTACGCCGATGACATTGTAATTATATGCAGGGGGAAATTCGAAAACACCCTGTGTCATAGAATCCAGCTAGGGCTGAATGTAACCAAAAAATGGTGTGCTAAAGCGGGGCTGAATGTTAACCCATCAAAAACCACTATAGTACCATTCTCAAGGGAATATACACTGGAGAGCCTAAAAATGATAAGGCTAGAGGAACCAACATTATGTACCAAAAAGAGGTTAAATTCCTAGGAGTGATACTAGACCAAAAACTACTCTGGAAAGCACACGTGGAAGAAACCACGAAGAAAGCTGTAAGATCATTTATGACGTGTAGGTCCATGGCAGGAAAGAGTTGGGGATGCACACCAAACATACTGAGATGGATCTACATGACTATAGTATGACCCATGATAGCTTATGGAGCCATCATCTGGGCCGATAGAACTTCACAACTTGGAACAATCAAAGGGCTCTCCAAGTTACAAAGGCTGGCATGCGTATACATAACCGGAGCCATGAGAACCTGTCCAACCGCATTCTTAGGGGTTCTTCTAGATCTTATCCCTCTTCATATTCACATACAGACTTAGGCGAAGAGAGCTTTACTATGGATGACTGGTTCCAATATCGGGGCAGAAGGGTATCTTAGCCGTCGGAAGTTAGATATTCTTACGAAGAACTTCCCTGAAATTGCAATACCGAGGGATACCATGCATCCGAGTTACAGCTTTACAAAGAGGTTTAAAACTGATCTGAGTAATAAGAAGAGCTGGGCTGGCTTATCCGAGACGTATCGGATAAACAAAAACATGATTACCTGGTACACTGATTGCTCATTGACCGACGAGGGTACCGGGGTAGGGGTAGTTGGACCGAGGTTAAGATACTCGGAACCCATGGGAAAACATATGTCTATTTTCCAGGCTGAAACATACGCCATAGAAAGATGCGAGGTCTTTAATATCAAGCGAAACTACCGGAATCAGAACATCGCAATCTTGACTGACAGCCAAGCGGCTATAATTGCCCTCAGATCTCGCCAGGTAAAATCTAAACTGGTGATGGAGTGCCTCGAAAAGCTGAATACTCTTGGTCTGGCCAATCTGGTTTGGGTTCTCTGGATTCCGGGACATATTGGTATTAAAGGAAACGAGATTGCCGATAAACCAGCGAAGAGGGGTGCGGCCCAGAGCCTTTTTGTGGCCTGGGAAAAGGGGCACTCTCCGAACTTGTTCGGTTAGAGGAAGAGGCTCATAGAAAACGCTACTGGGATAGTCTACCAGGTCGTCTAGAGCAGTCCAAAGCAATTTTAGGAACATATAACCTAAAACGCTTCAAGGAATGTATGAGCTTATCAAAGAATAACTTAAGAATTGTTACAGTAATCCTGACAGGACACTGCAGGCTGAACTATCACCTGACTAAACTGGGAATTTACTCGCATGAGCGATGCGGATTTTGCAGGACGGAAAACGAGACTGCACAGCACATCTTAGAAGAATGTCCTGCACTGATGCACAACGCAAAAGGCACCTGGGTGAACATATGTTAACCAAAGGCGAAGTGAAATCCGTAGATTTAGGTTGCATACTAAAGTTTCTCTCGGTTACTGGATTAATAGACTCTCTATAATCTATGAAGGGGGCACAATAGATCTTAAGGTCGCAGTGCTTTATCCCCAACAATAATAATAATATATGGCGGAAAGTGGCAGATAACGGAAAAGGAGGCGTGACACCTCCCATACAAACTGAAATTCTCATATCGCTTATCTCTGGAACCGCTTACGCTAAAAGCTTAAACAGATGGCAGCGTTGATCCCGATTAACTCGGTCTTAATCCGGATCAACTGCAGTTAATTCCCGAGTTGATCAGAATCAACACTGCCGTCTGTTTATGCTTTTACATCCCTAAGTTTAACACAGCAACAAATATTATCAATACCGTACTTATGGCGAGAGCGGTAGGTATTGGAAAAGGGGGCGTGGTACCTCTCATACAAACTATATTCTAATATCGCTTACACAACTACACAAGTTATCAATACCCTACTTATGGCGAAAATTGGTAGGTACTGGAAAAGGGGGCGTGGCACCTCCCATACAATCTGGAATTCTGATATGGCTTATCTCTGGAACCGCTTATGCTAACGTCCTGAAATTTTACACAGCTACTTACATATTTTATCAATACTGAACTTACGGCGAAAAGTGGTAGGTTTTGGAAAAGGGGGCGTGGCATCTCTTATACAAATCGCATTTCTACTATCGTTTATCTCTGGAACTGGATAAAGTAGTGGAATTTGATACACCTACATCTAAATATACATATAAAATGACAAGAGCCATTCAATTGGAAACAATTTTCTTCCAGATTTCTAAATCGCATTGATTGGTTGTTATTTTGTGCAAAGGTTTTTAGAAGAACCAGTGCGTTTGTCTTCTGAAAGGTGACGCAGGGATTGGTAGCTATCCTAAAAAATTATATTTATGATCAGATTTGCTTCATCTTTAGGACAGATATTAGTAACATAAAATTTAGTATACCTTGCTAGTTCAATCGTGTTATGCAAAAATATTGACAAAAACCCGTGGAAACCGCCAATAGAGAAGGAAGTATTATATTTTGTTGTACAGCTTTGAGGTAGCTCTTACCGATTCTGATGAAAAGAAGGAGTTTATGTACATACTTAGACGTTGGCAATTTAGTTGTTAACCTTCCAGTATGCTCTCAGACCAATTGGTGTATGTTTAACATTGTATTATTCAGTGAGGAACCGGTAGGCATCTCATCTAAAGATAAAAATACGCATGCTTATTTTTTATAAAAAAAATAGGTTCCTTTTTCGGTCTAATTTCGACAGCATCTGAAGAAATTTGGAGGAGACTTGGTACTCAGAATTAATATTAATCAAGCCGGTATTAACCTTCATAATTAGATTTTGACTTTTCCTGTAAACTTGCTATAAATTTTGCTGGTGGTCAATATTGGTGACAAGCAAAATTCCAAAGTGTATGAAAAAAGATGTTGAATTTCGACCACTGGGCGATACTAGTAATAATAATTCGTTTCAGAACTACACTTCGATCAACCAGAACTACGGTACTTCTTAAACGATTTTAATAACATCTATTTTCCTCGAAAGGCTACTTAATTTTCTGTAACAAAAATGAAATAACTTAAAAATCAGTCAACTGGTACCGCTGCACAGTGTTCAATAAATAGAATTTGATGTTCATAATTCACTGGAGCCTTTATTTCTCAACCAATTTGATTAATTCTTTTTTTAAATGAAAGCTAATAAAATTTTCAAGAGACCAATTATTGACTTTTCATTTGTTTTTATAAATTTTTTAAGTGCAAAGTGCAGAAAAAATGCCAATTTTGAAGAAGATCGATTCTCCTGTTCCAGCTAATAAAAGTTACATAATAAAAACTAGTTAAAAGCAATTGTAGGGTTCTCCCAAATTAAAAAAATATATAAAAGTAACAATTTGAAAAGTTATAAAAAAAATTTCACCAAAAATATTTTTTTTTGTTTTTGGTTTTTATAAAATCTTGGGTATGCAGTTTTATATATCGT